GAACCAATTCACTGATTTTAGGTTATTTCCTGAACCTGACATTCTACATCCATTAGTTAAGGTTATTCTATTGGTTCTAACCTTGGTTTGTCCTATATATTTTTGTGATATAATCCAGGCATTCATTTATTTTGGGTAAAAAATTGCAAACGAACATATTTTCATACAAACTATTCCTAAATATTATTTAAAAATAAATAAATGCTCAACCCAAAACGCGTTGGGGCTGGGTCTACCTCAACAATTTTGAAAAATGTATTTTTAAATGCTATTTCCCTTATTTATTTACAAATTTTTAAAAACAAATGTGATTCGGTTCATAGTCAAGATCAAGTTGGAAATCATGGTTCATATCACAGAGCGAATCATTATAAGCATTAGAATTTGTTTAGATCTGAGAGTTTAATTGTCACATAACAAAGTCAATCATATAATATGACAATACAATACATATTGACCGACTTCCAATAAGGGAAAAACAATCTATAATATTTGGCATAGACCTGTTAACGCTCGAAAAGGGCAGAGCTGCTCAGACGCGCAACTATGTATCAAAACAACCACAAATCGGACAACAAGTGAACATCTAATTATCTTATTTCCGTGACGCTTCTTCCAGCTCGAGAGCGGAGAAGCTCTCCGTCCATGACGATGGGCTGGGCATGGGCCAGACTCATGCTTGTATCTCAATTTCAATCAGAGGCCATGCTAAGTTGTGGAAAATTTGCACGCAAATTTTTTTGTTATGATTTGGTTGCTTTCAAGGTTTCAAATCTTATTGTACTGCGTACATATGTACAAGAAATTTGTTATTATAAAATTTAGCTCGAAGAATTTTCTAGATGCTCAGTTGTTGTGGCTTACTGGAACTTTCCACTGTGTTGCAGTCAATTGAATGCAAGCTGCGCTCAAATTACAATTTGTTTATCAATATTGTAAACGGGTTGGGCCCTGAAGCGAGGCATGGGATTCTTCTGGAAATTGCATAATTGCGTATTGGCTAGCTCCAGCTCTGAAAAGTTTCCATGAAAACTTTTCCATTAGAGCCTGGCTGTAATTCAAATATCTGCTTGTAATTAACCGAATCGAAGACCAGCTTGGATGGAGTCTCAACAGCGGTAACTGATCTCAAAATAAAACTGTCTTTAAACGAGCCAAATATTTTTTAAAATATTTCTTCCAATACGGTTTGGCTTTTTTTTTCTAAATCTGTTGAAAATCGTTATTTGTATTTGATATTTTAAAATTGTTGGGAATATATTAAACTTTAATAAATAAAAATATAAAAACAATAACGAATTAAATTGTTCATTGAATTTCTTTGGGTTCTTAGATGTACAAATTAACAAGATCTCGAAATTGGTTTGAACCGAAAATCGAACTACAGATAATTTAACTTGGGAGGAATAAAGGCGGCAAGGATGCAGTCAGATTTTTTTAGAAAAAACCTAAAGGAATATATAATAATTGGGATACTTGGTTTATTTTAAAGCTTTGGGCATTCAAAAGGAATAAAGATGATTGTGAAGAAAACTTTTTTTTAAATATGTATATACTTTGTACAGATGCCCAACAACTTTGTGATATCTGCCTAAGCTATCATAAGTAGACATATGCCTTGAGTTTGTGGGCGTCTTGCTTCCCTCATGTGCGGCAATATCAATATCGGAAAAATACATATTATGCACATGTTTTAATTTAGCCAAGTCATGCGCCAGTAGAACCCGAAGTGTTTATCAGAGGGTCTCCATTTCCTGCGGCTGGATCTGGTATGCTCTATTGAATAATAAGAGAGCAACAAGTTGTTTTCGAACAAAACACAAATTAGTGTATATTTGTTTATGCATATCGACCTTGTGCTTTCGTACTAAGTATAACCTTTGCTTGGGCTAATAAAATATTATTAATTATAATAAATTACAAAAAGCTGTTGTGGTGCATTTTACAAATGTTTTCAGAAAGCCATCAACTGACATTGTTGTATTAAATTGCACTTTTAAAACTAATATAAAACAATGTTCTTAACTTATTTACGCTAAATATTATGTACAGTTAACGGAATCTTTTTAATAACATTAACAAACGATAATCACAATTTAAGCACACAAATTGCTTGGGCAAAAAAAAAAAATAAAGAGAAATTAGAAACCAAAAAAAAAAGGTGCACGAAACTTACGCAACAAAAAAAAATCAAACTTAACTAAATTTAAACATATCAATAATACTGTGCTGCAATCATTTTAGTTATCCAAAAACTCCCATTCGCTGGATGTGCTGGAATCACCTGATGCAGGTGCTTCCTGCTTTCTAAGAGGATCACCTGCGCATCGAAAATCAGGTAGAAAGCTGTTATACTCCATTTCTAACGATGATATGGACTTTGGTTGAGTTTCTACAAATTTTAAGGGCTCCTTCGATGGACCCGCACAAATACCATCAACAGGTTGTCCGGCACTGTAATCGGGGCTATTGTTCAATATCAGCTTCTTGCACGGCGTTGTCTGCACACTGGCCTCCTCTAGTCTGGAGGGATAGCAGTTGATCAATGGCGCACTGAGCTCAGGCATCTGTGTAGCCCGCAGCTCCTCTGCGCTAACCGGGCCAAGATGCACCTCCGGCAAGTTTAGCTCGACAGCCAACGTTTTCGCCTTTTCCGCTATGGTCTTTTGCAACGTTGTAGGAGTCATTGCATCGGGCAGGTGCTGTATAAAAGCGGCTCTGATATCCACAGGTGAGACCAGACCGTTGCTGCAATAAGAAGATTATACTAAATATTAAAACAATTTTAATTAACAGACTTGACTACAATAAAAATATACAAGTTTTCGCAATTGGCAAGTACGAAGGAATCTTTACTTACTTTTCCATTTGACAGTAACTGGCGTCCATCAGAGTAGCTGCATTGGTCAGAGGCAAGTTGCGCTCGTGCGTCTCCTGTCCGATCTCAACAATACCCCCGGTACCAGAGCTCTGCTTGCCAACCGATATTTTGCGCTTCTTATGCGTTAATGTGCCGCTGGTGTGCACAATTGACTGCTCAAAGTCCATTTCACCAATGCGCCGAAAGATTTCTAAGCGACGATTTTGTTGCGCCAACGGTGACTCCACGGCCAGCTCAATGGGAACATTCAAATCAAGCTTTTCTATCGATGGTAACTCAAAGCACTCCTCGGCGCTGGTTATCGTAGCCTCCGGCTCTATCGGGGACTCTAGCTCCAGTTTGGAATATAGTGATGCTCCCAACATGGGCAGCGGAGGCGGTAGCAGGGGATTAAAAATAACCTTAGTTGTTTTATTGGGACGCTCGGGTAAAGGTGCCAGACGCAGCAGCGAACGCTCTCCTTCGAGCACAAATATCTCCTTGCCGCAAACACAAAAATCTATGATTTTACGAAAACCGCGTGCCACTGCCTCAACCTTAAGGCGCTCCAGATTCAGAATGTATAAAGTAGCATCATCATGGGTAACAACTAGTGAATCCTGTCCATCGTACAATTCTAACTCGCGAAAGTTTTTGCTGGCTACATATGTATCACTGCTGCTGGAGAGAGCGCTTGTTCCAGTTGATGTTTGGCTGCTTTGCTTTGGATTCAGTAGTGGTATCTCCCAAGTGGGACTGCGCAACACAGCTTCGTTGAAGATTATAGTCTTAGATACATTGCCAATAGCATCGGCAGTCCAAAAGCGCAGACCCGGTCGTCCGCAAATGATATGTGGCAAGTTATCCTTTGCTGTTTGCTTGAGGAATACGCCGCCGCAGTCGATCAGCTGCTTTCGATCCTTCTTACCCACTTGGGTGATTTGCCACACCTGGGTCTTAGCATCGCGCCGGCAAACTATGCAGCGATAAAGCGTTGCCACGAGCAAATAACTCTGATGCACACTCAGCTGTACAATCTCATAAGCTTCGCTTAGTATTTCCAGCGATTTGCTCAGGTGCTGTGGCCCAGATTTAAGGAATAAATTAAACTCCAGTTCATAGAATAACGACTGTTCTCTACGTACCGCTTGATAGTCGAATTCGGTGAGCACAACAACGCCCTGTCGATCACCCGAGTATAACTTCATGCCATTCTTGGACCACTCACAGCAGCTGACCACGCAGCGATGCAAGTCACGTATGGTGTAGCGTTCGATGGGTTTGCTTCGGGTGCATGGTGCTACCAGATCCAGGTCCGGCGGTAACTCTTTTTGTATTTGAAAAACGCTTACCTGGCCATTGGCACTGCCAGCTGCCACCATATATTCCACTGAACTAACTATCTTAACGCATGTTATGCGTGTGGAAACCTTCGCCATTATCATTGTTGTGGTTTTTGGAAGGGGAAGCACACAAAACATAATGGGTAAATAGCACGCAATGTCTCATGTGAGTCATGGTCATTCATATTCTTACCTCAGCCTTGAGTTTCTGCATTTCCCCCGAACGACGATTATACCAAAAGACAATGCCCGCATCACTGCCCAGTGCCAGGAAATCTTCAACGGCATCGACGCAAGTTACGTTCAGATTTGACGGGAAGAAACCGCGCCGGGCTGCTGGAATAAGCTCCATTATCTCTGTAAGCGGCGCCCATTCACGTAGGCAAAATTCATTGCAGCTAGCCATAATGGCTGAATTAATGTTATTATAGAAATTATATTAAAAATGTCCTTCCTCTTCCAGCCACTGTTCACAACAACTATTTACACTCAGTTTGTTTATATTCGATATATTTTGACAGCTTAATATTAAGTTCCTGAGTTGCCACATTTTCAAATTATTATCGAGTGAGTATTGAATATACAGAAAAACATTGATTGGAATGATGTGTGAAATCCAATTTCATATTATTTTCTGCGCGTATTCCAGCATATGCTTAAAAGCTTGTTTCAAAAAAAAACTCTATAAAATCGATTGCTAAGCATATCGTTTCACAAAATATCGCGCTTTGTGATTATATCGAAATCATTATATATCGCCAGCAATCGATTATTTATCAAAAGTAAAGAAAAAATAATTGATAATAACATTACTTTATTTTAAATAATAGTAGATTACATAGGTATCGTGCGCAAAAAAATAATATAATTTCATCTAATTTTATCTAAACACAAAAGAGTAAATTAGTAAGCATCTAGCTAAGTAGAAATAGGTACATACGGGACACAGGTAAGTGGATAATCAATGTTCATACTTCGGACCAAAGTTCATGAAATAATAGTTAATCAGTCTACAGCAAAATGGGCGACAACAACAATCTGCGAAGCGCAGTTATAAACGAGTCGCCTATGCTGGCCACCCCATACGGCAACGTGAGGTCACTTGCAGCCCCACCACCCATTCCACAGTCTCCCTTGCAGCAGAGCTCATATGGTTACGGAGGAGGCTACGGCAACGTTGGGGGCTATGGACTCGGCTTAGGCGGTTACAATACAGGAGGCTATAATGCTGGCGGATTCGGCTACGGTGGTTTCGGTATGGGTGGCATGGGTAACTATGGTGGCGGCTATGGGGCGTACAACAGATTTGGTGGCATGAATGCCAACGATCCTGAGCAGCGTTTTATACAAATGGCCGAGGCAAGCTCACGTCCCGCATTCCAAAGCATCGAATCACTGGTATCGGCTATTGGGAACATTGCTTCCATGTTGGACTCTACGTTCTTTGCGTTGACAAGCTCGTTTCGTGCCATTCTTGGCGTGGCTGCAAATTTTGGACGCCTGCGCAGTGTTTTTGCCCAGTTCTGGACATCGTTTGCTATCTTCCGCGGTCTAAAATGGATTTACAGAAAGTAAGTGTATTGCAGTTCGCCTGATAGATTAAAATTAATGATATATTTTGACATTTAGAATACTGTTTTGGCTACGCCTTTCGAATTTGGATCCTTCGTCGACAGCTTTTAAAAAAGCTTTCGCCGAAGCGCTCAATGATAATAATGTACAGAATGGCAGTGCGCCAAATATACCCCGAAAGGGCACGTCCCCGTGGCCAGTGTTGGCTTTCATTAGTTTCATCTTTACCGCACCATATCTGATCATGAAGTTGCTGGGCACTGTGACGAATACGGCGCAAGAGGAAGGTATGGACATTGCACACTCCGTTTATCTAATCTCAGCACTTTGCTCTGAACCAGCTCATCCAGATAAAGCTGGGCAATGGCTTTGATAAGCACGCGAATTCGAGTTGTTATTAATATCACCCGTAATTTTTATTCTGCAATCCAAACAGCCCGCAATCCCTCCAAGTGGACAGCCCCGATACAGACGCAGGCCGTGTATGATTTTCAGGCGCGCAACGAAAGCGAATTGACATTGCGTGCCGGTCAGTCCGTCCAGGTGGCTCCCCGTGAGATTCAACAGACCCTCCAACTGTTGAATTCTGGCTGGGCCCTGGCTTCAACAAATGGCCAGAGCTCGGGCTTAATACCAATCAATTATGTGAAATCACCGCAGCAAATGCGCCAAGAGCGACAGGAACCAGTTAAGCCACTGCAACCGCAGCCCGAGCTGATGAATCTGTCTGCAAATGCATTCCCCACCCTGCCCATTGATCAACAAATGAACTACGAATTTAATTTAGCTGCTCAGCAGCAGCAACCGCTTGGTCCACCATCCACGACAGGGACAGCGTTCGATCAAGGATTTGCTTGAAAAGAGTAAAAGCCTTCAACACTTAGCTTTAAGCCAATTAAATTTGTGTTCTAGATTCCATCTGAACAATAATGAGGTCACCTTCGAGCTGTTATTTTGTCGGGTTATTTATATCAAAATTCCTGCTCTTCATTACCCAGTTATTGAACAGCATTTCTCTACACAGATCCTTAAACAGTGGTATTTTTTAAACACAATATATATAAACCTAAGAAATAACGAAAGAATAAATACATAAATAATTAATATCTTAAAAAACCTGGTTATAATATAATTCACCTGGAACTCAATTCCCTCTCAAAGTGGATAAAAAGTTTTGTTTTTAATCATATATTACAATATGTATTGAGTTTATTACCTATGTTTGCTTTTTTTCTTATTTTTTTTTTTGTTTATGCATTTTGTATTTGCTCTTTGTCGATTTCTCATTTTCAAAATGAAATATTATAAATTTATTACACAACTACGGCTCGACTCTTAAATATACATATTTCACTTTCTACTAATTTGTATGCATTTGTATTCATTTGAAGTTAAATATAAATTCTAGAAATTTATATCGATGCATTAATAGTTGTTATAACTAATTAGGTAGATTGATTATTTGCATTTGCTTTTAATGTATATGTATTATATAGCTTTATATATATATATATATATATATATATGCATATGTTTGTATTTATAAACATATTTGTATTTTATTTTTAGCTGAACGGTTCTTGAGAAATTTAGAAAATATGTAACAGCTGTCTTAAAATGTTAATGTGAGGCAAATAAACATATTTCATATGCTTTTGTCTACAGTTTGCACTGCAATTTGTAGCTCTAAAAATATTTTCATTATATTTAATTGCTGTCATTTCAAGTTTTGGTGTACAATAGTTTTAAAAGTTGCTCTACAACAATTGAAGATGAACTTTTAAAAACCCTTTTCGCTTGCTGCTTAACAATTTCTTTAAGCAGCAATTATTTAACAACTAAAAGAAGACTGCAATTTTTTTTGTATATTTTCACTAAAATACATTTTTTTTGTTTTTGTGTTTTTGCTTAAGAACATTAATTTAAAAGTTTTGCGCTTAAAAATAAACTTCAAAAATACAAATACAAACTGAACGCCAAGTAATATTTATAATTATTAAATGTTTCTTTCTTTTTAACTTATTTATAGTTTAATCAAGTCTCATTGAGAAATAAACGAAATCAAAGCTGTTTAATGCTTCTGTATATGTAAAGAAAGACAAATGTGAGAAATGGGCAGCCTAATCGAACGGGCGTGGCAATCCCAACAAAGCGTTAATAAACGTAAAACTAAATGTATCCTCTGCATAGCCGCTGCTAACATCGCCAGCATCCGCAGTGGAACCCATCGCCCAGGACACGTCCGCGTCATCGTCAGCTCAATCGATGTCATCCTCTTGCTCATCATCGTCTAGCTCCAACTTGTACTCGACATCGGTGGTATGCTGTGCAAAGCTTTGAGACTCATTGGGTATTTCGAGGTACGAATTGAACTCGTCATCCGAATCGTACATCGGATCCCCCATTTTACCAGTGCCATAAGCTGTATACAAATTATACTCTATTATTTATTTCATTGCACAATGGCCAATTGTCTACAGTTTAATGCATACCTTCCACATATTTGGATAGATTTGGTGGGACCCAACCCTTAACACGTTCTATATTCTCCCCCGTGCAATCACCTTTATCCAAACCTGCCAAATGACACAAAGTTATCCAATATTCTTTGACAGAAGCCAATGGAGGTTGTCACTTACCCACTAGGAGGCCCATGCGTTTCAACACCTCGATGTCATCGTGCATTTCGAATGTGTTGTCGAACTTAAATATGTATTCGGATCTGTGGAGGAGTCGGACATGAAATGAGTATTAATTAAGGCAATAAACCAAATCTTGAAGAGACATACTTGTCGTTGGTTACACTGCAATTTATCTTTGTCGATTTGTGCGTATTCACAATGATGAACGGCAGCTGAATGGATGAGTTTGGCGATGGCACCATGCCCTGGCTTTCTGCCCGTTTGTTGCGCTCGACAAGACCCTTGAATGCCACGTGCTGCATGATTAATTCACGCAACGTTTCATTTTTTTGCTTTATTCGTTCACGGCACAAATTGTTCTGTTCCTCTAAGGCCAGAAATTGCTAAAAAAAAAATAATCAAAACGAATATCAGTTAATACAATGCTTAACACCACATATTCATTATTATATATTATTAACTATACCTCAGCCGAGTTGGCGGGCAACCCAATCCAACGTATCTCCTTTTTATCCTTAGATATAACATTGATTGCCATCAGTACGTTAAGCGCATCGTAGACACGACGCCGGATATTCTTTTGATCACAGTTATTATCATATGAATTGTTCTTCATTTCTTCATTAACCAAGTCGTCAGCCACCTCATTGTATGTGGTCTTGCCCTTTTCCTGCACCTTCTCGCACACCTTCATCGAGAAGTGACGCAGTCCCTTGCCAGCCTTGTCAGGCTTTCGTTTCCTTTGCACTGACGATGAGGAGGCGGGCATTGTGTGCATTGAACTGCTCTGTATGGCGTGCCTAAAAGAAAAGAGCACAAAAGGTATCAATACAATGTATTTAGAATATGTCGATTTGCCAATTGACTTACAATTTCGATTTCAATTTCATGGCGTTATTTGGCGTATATTTGACATATCGCTCGTTCTTTATCTATAAAATATAATGTGGTACACATTATTCTTATTCTTGTCATGGAGAAACGGGAGCACGGCGTGAACGTTGTTTACTTACCACTTCGTGAATGCTGCCTCCCACACCGCTGCCTTTTTGCGCTGACACAGGTGTATATGAAGTATCTGTTTTTTAACGATTGAAAAGAGAATAAAAGTTATTATTTAATAATCGCAAATGTTAAAAGTTGATTTTGTCGCCTTACTTTCGGTTTTTGGAATAGTAATACAACTATCTTGAAGACGAATGAATTGTCCCTGATTCGTTGTGCTCTGCAAGCAAGCAAGACCAATTAAGTACATTAATTACACCTGTGTTTGATCAATTGATCTTACCATTTGACTTAAGGCGCCCACTCGCCCCACATTGCCGATGCCGCCACTGCCTCCGTTGCGTGACGAGCTGCTAGGAAAGACCAAAATCGACTTTGAATTGTCCATGGAGTGCGTTTGCTTCACTTGCACTGGCTTCAACATTTTGGCAATTTGTCCTGTAATGTGAATACCTTATCAAGCAATGCACATTAAAGATTTACTTATTATGAAATAATATAAAAATCGTTTATAACTCTGTGCGTCTCTCTCTTAATATGAAGTAATGTGATAATCAGTTTGTAAATAGAAACACGTGCTAAGTGAACCGTATGCCAATTAAATGTGTAAGAGCATATTCAACTTGTGTAAATATCTGTAACGGAGTCTATCGATAAGTTCATGTCATCGAACTGATGTCGATAAGTGCAGATATTGATATATATTCCATCCCCCCTGCTCGACTCAAAATTGTGGCTTTGACTGTGGGATTGACTACTATTAACATTTTCTTTTGACCGGTAGATCTGCTCCTAAAGAGAGATGCCTTTTCTATATTTTTAGATTAGAGTAAATGGTCACTTTTCTTTTAACTTGTAAACTAGACTGTCACATGAAAATGCAGGATTTAATACGCACTTTTTACAACCTCGAAAGTTCAACGGGCTGCTTCGTAAAATGCATATGTATATAATGTCAGTCTACATACATAAATATGTTTTTAAACGCATGCACCTCCATTTCTGTCGTTCTTTGCAATTTTATATACTGCGAATGTAGAGAATGAAAGCGAAGTGCAAAAACCAATATCAACACAGCAAAAGGCGACAATGTCAACCACACAACAACAACAGCAACAGCAACATCCACGAGTGTAATGTATAGAGTAGAGAACAAATGAAAACGAAAGAATTCTCACTTCATGACGTGGGGTGGCGGGGATGGACAAAATGCGCTCGTCTGGCAAGGATATACACAGCAGCACACAGCCCAACTCACAACAAGAGCAGTAAACCGACATACACACATGTATGCGTGTATGAAGCACGTGATCACATATATATATATATATGCACATACACACAACTAAACCCATATTGATATGTATGTGTCGTGATCGTGCTGTTTGCACAGCCCTGGATATTTATAGCCGACTTTTCTTTTAACAATTTACATCTGGATCTGTCAGTTATGTTAATTATTCACCTGCTGCGATAACATTTACATAATGTTAATACTAACGAAAGACGAGCACAAAAAACATACAAATAAACATGCATGTCAAAAATTTAAACATATTTATGAATCAACATCAAAACCACATGAAGGGCCCAAACTATAAATACCAATCTGCACACACACAACTATACATGAGTCACAGCTTAACTGCTGACAACCATCGGTCTTCAACAGCAGCAGCCTTGCAGTAGGCCGGTTAGCCGGCGTGCGGTCGACGCTGTTCACTCATTCATACAAACAGCACATGCGCTCACATATACACGCGCCCACACACACACACACTTACAGATGTACGTAAGATGGTCAACAGAGCGGCAATAACAACAATTATTGCTGCCGGCGTCAACGCCGCGACGTTGCTGCGCAGTCGCTGCTACACATGTTTGGTGTTTGCCCATTTTGGGCTTTAACTATTTTCCTATCTACACGTACATATATGTAGATGTTTGATTATATGGGTGTTCAACTTGAATGTGAAAACGTATTTGTGTTGACTGCTTTTTGTAACACAAAGCAGAATGTCACGCAGTTTTATTAATTTTGTTTCACCTGCAATACGCATACAAATACGCCATCTGCCTATTTTTATTTATAATTATCAACTTTAGGATTCATTACGTTAAGGAATTAAAAAAAAACACTCGCAGGAAGCTTTGACGACAGCGCTGCCGGCAGCTGCTGCGCTGCTATCAGCTGTTCGAGCTGAAAAAAACCCGAAGAAGTATCTTGTATATCTTGTAGTTGTTGTCAGCGAATAGGGTATAGAATGTATTTGAGTGTGTTTGACTGAGCGCCAACTGGGCGAAGCGCGGTTGTCGTTGCTGCCCGGCAATGAACACATGCACACGTATATTCATATACAGCTTGACATACATACATATATGTGTGAGCTTGCACATACATTTGTATGTGTGTATGTATATTGGCAGCAGCAGACAAAACCAACCGATTTTTACTTGATTTTATTTTTTATTATTTGTTTTTTTTTTGACGTGTTGCCGTGCAGTTATAGTAGTAGTAGTAGTAGTTGTTGCTGTTGCTCTTGCTGTTGGCTTGCCTCGCCGCGGTGCGGCGTTGTGTATGCGCTTAAAGCGTATTAAGCGATAAATATTGTATGTAAAAGGAAACCGAAAAAGAAAAAGATGGCGTTTACGCGCCAGTGTGCGAGCATGCAAGTTAGTAGTAGCTCCCCCGCTACTACTATTGTGAATACGCAAGTCTCTGCAATTGTATTCGTGTGTGTGCGTACAAGTACATCAGAACATATGTACATTTGTATGTTTCGCATTCATTAAAACAAAATTAGGCTTTAACACGGTAAATTTATAACAGACAATGTAGTGGGAGCAGTTGTAAATTAAACGCAGCAAATGGTCAACAGGCCAATAATGTATTTAACCACTAAACCGCTTAGCCATGCTTACCGTGCTCATCCTGAAAGAAATAGTTGACTTCATCCGTCTTCACCGCGCCACTCGTTTGATTTGCAGCCGAGGAATGCGCCATTTTCAGGTGTAGGTAGAGACAGGTGTAGTGACGTCGGTATTCCTGCTGTTTGGTGCCCAGCACCCTTAACTGCTGAAATGCTGTCGCTGATTACCTGCGGCAACGACTATCTCGTACTTGCACTTCTTCAGGGCGACCGTTCACCAACACGCCGCCAAAAGATATCAATACAAGCAGAACAGAAGCAAGTAGCCGCAACGTGTATGTGAGAGCCTGAGTGTATGCAAGTGAATGTGTGTTTGTGTGGCGCGGCCAGCGATGAAATCCGTATTTTTTAGGTGCACAATTGTAACACGTGTATTAAATATTCTTTGCACAACACTTCACAGATGTTCTAATATTTGGGCGTAATTGCCTTCACCGTGGCACACTTCAGAGCGATTATTTTGATATCAGCAAGTGAAAATTTGGTTGTCGCTCGAGTCAAAATGGCGAGCGCATTTTTTGTTTCCAGCAGCAGCAGCGCATTTTTTTTCTTGTCACATACAAAATGGTTTCAATGCGGGTTTTCAAAGGCGTTTTTCGGACACTTCGAGTGTTTCGATTTTTGAGCACTTTTTTGCAAAAGGATCGACAGATTGTGATGTTTCTTGTGCACTATTTAGAATTAAATTATATTTCGTTTATATAGCAGCGCGATACGCACAAAATTTCCATCAAGTCGTTGCTTTTTCAACGACGACGACAACGACTACGAAAACGACCAACGTGCGAGTGCGAGCGAAATGGCAGACACCGCGTTAAACAGCTGATTGGCTCGGCGCGCCAAATTTACGCATCAATCGAACTCAGTGCTGTGTAACGTACGTCAGGATAGCGGCACTCATACAATACGATATATAAAAATTAGCTACTTTTTCGTTTTATTTATTGCATTACAATCTATTACAATGCTCACATGTACTCAATCGCCGGCAGCATGCTGCTCATATAAGGAACAATAGCTCAAAGTGTCTATGCTGACAAGATATCCTATATCATTAAATCCCCCAATTATATTGATAATAACACTAAAAATTTGTTGATTCGTTCAACCTTTTTATTTATAATATTGATAAATGTAAAGTGTAAACTATCGCATATATTTGTTAAAATTGTTTATTTTTTAACGTTATACAACACTTTGTGTAAAATGTAAACAATGTTGTTATCGCTTACAATCGACAACAATTTTCTGGCCATCCTAACATTTTTATCGCTGCTGCTTTTGCATATCGATAGTTTCTTGAACCCAAACTAGGAATGTTGTTTCAGTTTCAGGTATGTAAAGCATTTCTAGTTTTACAAATATGATGAAAAAAGTGCTTATTTAAATAAATTAAATATTAATAACACATGTAAGCGATCCAAACAAAGAAGACAAGAATTATATGAACCTAAGAACTAAATGAACGATAGTATGTTCATTGAATCCAGTCGTACAAATGAACTTGTTCCGAACTATTTCACGCAACTCTGCAAACGCACGGCTGATTTTGCCAAATAGTATCATAAACATATTATTGATATGATAAAATGACAAAACATCAATTTCGTTATACATTAAGTGAAAAGTTAAAATCTACATAATAACAATTACTGCTCTCAAATCATAAGCCAATCATAAATCCACCAAAGCTCACTGCCACCTGAGATCAGTGGAACACGACTAGACAACAACAAAATGGTCGATCCGCTTTGTAATTACAATGTACTGGAGGCAATATTTTCATATTTAGATCTTAACGATTTGAATCGATGTTCGCAAGTTTGCAAAAGCTGGTATCACTTCCTAAACGACGAGAACAGCGATGTTTGGCGTTGGCACTGCCTGCGCAAGCTGCCCAAAGAGGCAGTCAAATCCGACCTGCTGGCCTCCGTCACCACATACAAGACAAAGCTGCGGGCGTACCTTCATGCCTGGAGTCCCAACGATTGCTCACGGAACGTCTACATAAAGCCAAATGGATTTACACTCCATCGGTGGGTAATTGATGTTGTCTGTTTATATCCCTTCTTAATCTTTTTTATTGTAGCAATCCGGTAGCACAAAGTACGGATGCAGCACGAGCTAAAATAGGTTTCCGCCAAGGTCGTCATGCGTGGGAAGTTATCTGGGAGGGACCATTGGGAACAGTTGCCGTAATTGGCATATCCACAAAGGAAGCAGCTCTGCAGTGCCATGGCTATGTGGCGCTACTTGGCTCCGATGATCAAAGCTGGGGCTGGAACCTGGTCGAGAATCATCTCTTACACAATGGTGATATGCAGGGCAATTACCCGCTGTTAAACAATGCACCCAAATATCAGGTTGGCGAACGTATTCGCGTTATACTCGACTGCGATGATAATACTCTATCATTTGAGAAAAATTATGAGTTTCTGGGAGTAGCGTTCAGGGGTGAGTTATGCATTAAATGTAAATGTGTAATATTTTTTTTAAAGAGACAAATAAAACTCTGATTATATTGTAGGTCTGCCAGATAAAAAGCTTTATCCCACGGTATCGGCTGTTTATGGCAACACTGAGGTGTCAATGGTCTACTTGGGAACACCGTTGGACGGATAACTATGAGATAACTGATGAAGCCTTACTGCCCTAAAATTTGTAAAATAAATGCAGCTAGTATATATGTATATTCGTTTAGATTTCATTCTGCTTATGTCTAGTTTTATTAAAATAAGAATAGTATAAAGTTAAAAACTATCAACCTTAATTTTATTTTTTTAAACAGCATTGGCAGCAATGGCTTTCGGCTAGGACAATACTCCGTCTATAGACTAGCTTGGGATTCTAAACTTGATCCGTATTGTTCTATCTAAACTCATCTACCGAGAATTGCAATTATGTCTTATTTTTAGATTTTTTTGTACAAATATACATGCATTTGTTGATTTTAGAGTACGCCAAAGTTAAAATCACTTCTATTCGTTCTGTATACCAACTAAGTTTAATTGTACAAACCAAATAAATAAGTAGTTGTAATTTCATACAATGAAAGGCTTAAAATCCTATTTTTTATTAAAATTAGGAAAAAAAAACTGCATCTTTTATAAAATTCTCCCTATTTTACTGGAAAAAGGCTCAAACAAGAAGTCGGAATATCTATGCTCTAGATTAGTCCTTGTATTAAAGTCCTTATTTAACGAGGGACCCAAAATTCATTATATGTATATTTCATAAATCCATATAATATATGTATATAAAAGCTTTATTTACATGCTCTTACTAGGATAAGCACATAGCATATTGTGTGTTTGTGTTGTATAAGACATTTGGTAGAAAGGCCAGCAAGGACTCCGTGGCGCAACGGTAGCGCGTCTGACTCCAGATCAGAAGGTTGCGTGTTCGATTCACGTCGGGGTCACATTAGGATGGACTTTTGCATCCTTATTTATAAAAAGAAAAACAGTATATAAATATATTATGTTTTAACATTTTTATTTTTAATTCAAGCATATTTGATTATTTTATATTTGTTTAAATTATTTGTATATTTACGTTATGGGTCGGTATTCTTTGATATTCCTTTTATGAAATATTAAAAAATGCATATAATTTTAACAATGTTCAAATATATATTTTATTAAATACTTTAAGCAGATTTTGTTTAGTGCAAGAACAACAGTTGCAAAATGAGCATTCATTTATATATTTTAAATTTATGAGTTGAATTTCATTTTCTTTTTAAAAATGCCATAATTAATATACATATTTGTTTTAAAAAATACATATGTTTTCATATAAATAACAAGCAATTCGAACGATTCCATTTGTTTTCTAATTTGTATGAGTACATATAAGTACGTATGTTTATGTTCGTATATGTAAATATATATATATCAATTTATATGTGTAGATTATTTTTACGAATTTTAGCTTAATTGTAAATTCCCTAAACGGTTTGCAATGATGTCTCATTAGTTGTTCCCTTATTGCATACAATGTATGTATGTGTATATAAAAAATATTATTTATTTATGTGCCATAATTTGCGTTTAAAATGAACAAACGTATTGTGTGTAAAACTACCAACACCAAAATTCGCGATGCTTTCGTACATATATTCTGCATATTTAGCTAACCGAAACTAAAATTTCAACAAATTTGTACACAAGTCAAAAAATTAATATTTTTATTTGCTATTGACTAGATTTAGGAACTCCTCGCGCGTCTTTGGATCATCGCGGAACACACCAAGCATAGTCGAGGTAACAGTTTTGCTATTGATTTTCTGCACACCCCGCATAACCATGCACATGTGTCTGAAAGAGAAAGCATATAAACAACTCGGTTAAATAAATTATCTTAATGTGGCCATAGATAAGATAGATGAATCCGTTTCAATTGGCTAATATCTTCTTTATGTGCTTTGTTTAGTTTTAGCGCTTTCAGCATCAAAAGCATCGGTGGTTCAGTGGTAGAATGCTCGCCTGCCACGCGGGCGGCCCGGGTTCGATTCCCGGCCGATGCAAAATAAGTTTTTTGCTTTTGTATATAAAAATCTGAATTTTTTTTTTTTGAACTCACAGAACGAACAAATTAAGCACTAATATATTGTTATGTTGTGTACTTACACGCCCTCGACAACAACAGCAACTCCAGCTGGCTGCACCGCTTGAGTCACAGCAACGGCAATTTGCTTGGTCAAACGCTCCTGGACTTGAAGACGACGCGAGAATATTTCTACAATGCTAAAAAGAAGAGAAAAACATAAATTTTAAGTTTGCCTGTGCTCAGGGTTATTGCTTCTGTTCAACTTACCGAGCCAGCTTGCTAAGTCCTAGAATCTTATTGCATGGCAAATAACCGATGGACACTTTGCCATAAAACGGAACCAAATGGTGTTCACACATTGAAAACATTTCAATGTCCTTGACAACGACCATTTCGTCATGATCCTCATCGAAGACCGCGCCGTTCAGCACGTCTGAGCCACAAAAAATATAAAAGAAGAGGGAAATTGTAAGTATTATTTATCTCCAAGTTGATTTATGTTGATGCTGTCGTTTGGCATATTTTATGCTAGATTTATTTGCTCAATAAAATGTGTGGCAATGGCATAACTGAATCTTAAGTTGAACTTTTCCACTTGACTGTTAATGTGCCGCACTCACAGCGCTGTGCATAAGTGCATGTGTGAGTGTGTTAGTGTGTTAGTGTGTGCGCGTGTGTTAGTGTGCATGTGTATGGCTGTTGGCGCCACTTGTTGGCCATTCTTTGGGAGCTTGAGCTTTCACTACTTCAGCTTTAAATGCTGCCCACTCTTGTGATTTTTGCACACTGCTCCTCGGCTTGCCTTAAGTGCTACGCCCACTTGACGCCCACAGCAGTCCACGCGCTCTCACTCTCACTCTCTCTCTCTCTCTCTCTCTCTCTCTCTCTTTTCCTTCTCTACCGCTTCCCGTTACAATTTTAAAAGCTTAAGTGCGTTTCCTGTCAATTCGCAGTAGCTGTGCCAACCCCCCCCCCCCCCCCCCCCCTCTTGCCAAACAACCTTTCGCATGGCAATAGTTTAGTTAAATTTTGGTTAATGTTGGCAAGCTCTATTTAGTATAAAGTTTATCAATTAGTTAAATGAAAATTGAAGGGAGATAAAAGCGCTTTTGATATTGATTATCAGGCTCGAGGCGAATCACTTTCGTTAATGTCTGGCATTGTTGTTGCGGCCAATTTGAATGTGACTCTGAGTTTGTGCGATTGTATTTAATAAAGTGTAGAACCTGCTTTTCGAAATGACTATTTTTTAAAACCGGTCTGCATACTTGCAATTCAGATCAAAAACAACACCGCTGAACCATTGAACATGTGAATTATACAACATATCTAATCAGATATTGGCCAGGAAAACGAAAACGAAAAAAGGGCAAATAGTTTATGGCTTCAAGGAATTGGGAAATTGAATTGCCTGCATTCTTTCAGAGTGTAACGGAGCTGGGAGATAGCGGCAATTAGGTAATGCACCTGATAAAGGTGAGGTACTGGCGAGTGCGTGGACACTAGACGTAGAGCTGACGTGGTGAATCACTGTGAAAGAAACTAGCTTAGCGGTTTTGTGGAAATGCCCGCTTGACGCTGATTCATGAGCGGCACTGTGCCCAGGATCGGATCACTGACCCAATGCTAATTGGACGCACAAAAAACTGTCGGGTGCTAATTGCGCTTATGTTTATGCATGAGCCGGGCTATGCAAATTGGTTTGGCATTCGCATTGAATTTGAGTACTCACCCTCCAGGTTCTGATCGTAGCCCTTGGTGAAGTACAGCATGGCCTTGGCGGCGCGCTCCGGCGTCTTGATCAGGCCCTGTCGATCGGGATTCTCGCCCAGGCCGCCCAGCAACAGGCGATAGGAGCGCGCCATATCAGGTAGCAGTGCCTCGCGCGTTGGCGGCTTATGGTCCAGCTCCAGATCGTGGTGGAAAGTGCAGTTCTCATGGCCTACATAAATGAATATAAAGAAAATCATCAAAAACAGCGACCATATTACACTCAGCATTCCCTCGAGATAACCCACCCAACCCCGGTGTCAGCCCGAGCCGGGGCTGGGTGGAATACAAATCAGATCGAAGCACAATTGAACCTTTGACAGAATTAATGCTCGGGCATTCATATCAGTGTAACAAGCGAGCGGCTTGAAGCTGTTATCACCAATCGGCTAACGGCTAACGGTTAATGGTTAATGTTTAACGACCAACGGCCGTTAGGCGAGACTTGGCAATTTGATTGTCGGGCGCCACTTGGCGCAATAATTGTTATTATTGCATTGATCTATGATTTCTATGAGCTCCTGGCACATTAAATAAATCGATTAAAATGGGGTTACGCGTGGGGTTGGGCATTAACCCGGCTCGGTGCCAGGCACAATAATTGCTGTTGAATGATTTCAAGTGGGGACACGTGTCGCAGTGCCGCGACTACAACAATGCATCCTACGCATCCCTAGAACACACACGCCTTCACACCACTACCTGGCGTTGTCGATGTACGCGGTGTCATTGGTGTTATCGGTTGTGTACCATCGTTTTCCGGGATGCTGGTACTGCTCTTCAGTATCAGGCGAGGACGAATGTTGGCGTTGGCCACTGGCTCCTCGCTCGCTGCTGCCACAGTGGCTGGATCCTCCGGCTGGGTAGTTACCAGCGAGGAGGTGCCCGAGGTGCTACTTGTTGAGCAGACGCTATTGTTGCGGCCCCGCGACAGAATATGCGCCTGCGGAAAATTGGTATCATCGATGGCATCGTTCAGCTCGCTGGCGCTCATCTCGGATAGCTGGCGTGTGAAGCTCATGTTGTCGCTCCAAATCGCTTTCAATGTTTGTCCGTGCACAACAACAAACAACAAAAAATGGCCGCGCAAATAGCAATTGCCAAATTAGAAATACACAAAATTTAGACTTTGGATTAAAAACGGAGTCGACTACGGAGAACGGGCGGGCGGGCGGTCGGTCTAACTCTGCTGCGTGTTAACGTTGTGAAGTGCTTTGGGCAACTGGCTGCCCGTTGGGCTCTGCGATGCTAATAAGAACTTCAAGCAGAGCTTTGAGCGACAAAAGCTTTGGCGTGCGGCGTGTGCGGCGTGTGCGAGCTTTGCATTTGCGCACAGCGCACGCCTACAGTTTGATGGCCAGTGCTGGCCAAACTGTTGACTTTCAAACTTGTTGCTGTTGAGGCGTTGGGTTGGGTTGGCTTGGGCTGGGCTGGGCTGGGCTGTGCTGGCGCCCACTCGAATCGGCCAAGGTCCCAGTTAATCATATTTGTTCGAACTTTTTTTTGTGTGTTTACCCGAGCGCCAGCAGTCAGAACTTCAACGTCAGTTACACACACACACACATAAAAGGCAAAGACATAGATAAAGAGAATCCTGCTCTGACAAAATTCCAAATTCTCTGCCAGCATGGCTCACCGAATTAAGCTCCGCTGCGATGACTTCGATGTCATTGGCGCTGTTCCACGTGACCTTTCCGTGATAAAGAACTTTCTGAAGCGGGACTGTGCCGTGAAGCGACTGATAGATATTGAAGAGAACTTCCTGAAGCGTTGCATGGAGCAGAACGCGGGGGAGTCCGCGGAGTCTAAGCTGAAGGAAAGGCAGAAGCAACATTTACAAATTGAGCCCCTTCAACCCGAGAAGCCTCCTTCAGATCCATGCGCCAGCGGCTCTCCGCCGGATGCCAATGGGCAAAACTATTGTGATCCATGTCGGCGGAAAAATACGTCTGTGGTCATAGAAGAGGTGCGTAAAGAGCGCGAAATGTTCCTTTGCCTCTTTAATTCTATTGATTCGTGCTTTTGCAGCTAACAAAACCCGCTATTACCAATCCGGTCTATAAGATGGCCCCGCCGCCCTACTTTGATGAGGAGTCCGTAATGGACCACTCACAGCCCATAAGGTTTCGTTTCCGCAGGAAGGCAAATAGCTGCGACACCGAGAAGATATCGACACTACCCTGCACTCCCACGGACAACACAAACGTTATGGTGTTAACCAATTGCAACGATATAATGGTCTGGCCCAGCCAGAAGGTGGCACAAATGAATCGTGTGCCAGTCACCCTATTGTCAGGACCTGGAGATCTGACGGAATACATGTTGGAGGAGGAGACAATCATGTAGACGAAAATTTGGAGTTTACAAAAAACAAAACCTATATATGAGCCTCAGTTTTCGCCTAACCCAATTAAGCAGAGAGATGAAAGTAAAACATATTCCTTTATAGAGGAAGCCACCAAAAAGACCAAAAGTTATTCATGTTTAATTGCGCAGACGAGACTTGTATGGCTTATGCGACAGTTTAGGACAGGCATAATTATCTATATATATATATATATATATATATATATATCATACCTTTATATAGCTAGCTATATAGAAAGTGTCCCCGAGGTCCCCGCGGTCAATGAACGCGCAGCATCTCGTAAAAACAATTTATGCATTCCGACTGTCTGAGAATGCTAATTGTTGTGGTTTTTGAATTCGATTTGAGATTAGTGGATTTTTTAGAGACAGGATTGTGTACATTTCTCGAACTGCGGAATAACGCCAGTTGGGTAACTTAACATATATGCACATTTAGTTAAGAGTCAGCTGAATATATCCTATACATATTCCATTCAGATAAGTGGAGCTTACAAAAAGTACAGTAAAATCTCTGCGATACATTTTATAGGGTCCCCCCTTTAAATTGTGATAACGTATGACATATGTTGGATTCGGAAAAATTACAGTAAAATCTTTGAAATATATTTTATAAGGTCCCCTTGAATCTGTGATAATGGATGACATAAGTTGGCTTCAGAAAAAGTACAGTAAAATATATTTTATAGGGACCCCTCGAAACTCAGAATAGCTGATGGTCAGAAAAGCACAGTTAGGTCTTTGCAATTGATTTTATAAGCTCCCTTAAAACTGTGATAATGGATAATGGAATAAGTTGGGTACAGAAAGAGTACACTACAATTTCGCGATTTATTTTATCAGGTGCCTTGAAACTGTGAAAATGGATGAAATAAGTTCGTTTTAGTATAAAGTACGGTAAAATCTGTGTAATGGACTTTATAAGGTCCCCTTGAAACTTTGAATAATTGCTGACAAATACATATTCCACTGAGTTCAGAAAAAGCAGAGTGTGATAATCGATAATGGAAGAAGTTGGGTTCAAATGAAGTACACTCAAATTTCACGATGGATTTTATCAGGATTTTATCCCATGAAACTGTGCAAATCGATTAAATAAGTTGGTTTTAGAAAAATGACAATAAAATCTCTGAAATATATTTTGATAAGGTCCCCTCGAACCTGTGAATAGCTGTTGCGAATAAACTGGCTCGGGATGCTTGCTGTATAGATTTAATATTGGCAAAGTGGATGTGAATAGTTAGATACCACGAATTGATCGAATAACTGCCACAAATCAATGCCTTTACAGTGTGAGACAAGTGTACGGCCAACCTGTTGGCGAATATCGTAAGCATGCAATGCAATGCAATTAAGTAAGGTAAGTCATCATTAACATTTTCCACAGGGCAGGTGTTTTTATACTTTTTGTCATAGTTAACAATTACGCATTACGGAATTCTACGAAGAGGCGAGCCGCAATGCTGCGCTTGTGCGGGGGGTTTTCAACATTTGATGGATAATTCCGAATATATTTAATAATCGAATCAGACAGGATTCTTAGCATTCCTTATACGCTGCAATTACAAGGCATTAAATACCGTACTACGTGCGGGTTATTTTTTATTGACCGCGATCGCTCAAATGTGAAGCACGGCGACTTATTACTCATGCGATATGAAAGAAACGGCAAACCAAAAGACAAAAAAACCAAATATATATATACATATATATATATGTATTTATATGAAACCGACAAATCTAAACCGTTTTAAACGTGTGTGCTGTGGTACTCGCGTCCAATTAAATGCTTTTAACCTTCAAAAAGTAGTACAGGTCTAGCCTCGGGCCGCCGTACTCCCGCTCTGCCACTGGCTTTAGGCCAAATACCGGATTACGACGAGGAGTTAATGCTTATGTGCCACAATATGCCAGCTCATAAATCGTTGAATCTGCCGATCTGCATTAAGCGACCAGCGAAACTTTCAATGTCAATGTCAATAAATCTATTACGATTAGGTATTCGTTATGTCTTTGTTTTGTTTTTTTAATGTTTTTTGATCTGCCATTGTGTGGTTTTCATACACATATGTACATAGATATAGTTGTTTGCGGACTTGAGCTGTTGAGGAATTTTGGTTTGACAGAAATTTGAGTTTCCCATTTGCGGCTTATGTGCAATTGGTTTTATGTGCCAGCATCGCCGGGAAATCAGAGCTATGCACGGAGGGTCATTGCGCGAATGTGAGCTGCATTTGAACTAACTTGATCCCATCTAATTCAAGCTGTGTGATGAAATGTTAAGGCCGTATTTCTCGGAAACTAAACTAGTCTGGGCCTTCCTTATCTTACCTACTAGCCCGTAGAGCTACGAACTACATATATGTATTTACCACGTGTGCTAAATAAATAGAGCATGGAAATAATCGACACTGAGCAAAATGTTATGTATGAAAATCTGGACTGCAAACCAGACTTTGAACTGAACTTTTTACAAGCCGGAATTTCAGTTCATTTCTACAATGAACCGAATCTTACAAGGAACCAGTTATCAAACAAAAATATTTATCAGCCGATCCAGCTTCTAAGTTTAAATACAGATCAATTTAAGCAGTCCTGAATATACGTTCGGTTTGCACTATATTCAGTAGAAGAGGTAACATTAAAATAAGAACTGAATTGCTTTAATAGGTTTTCAAAAACTGAAATCTGCTTACAAGGATGCTTCACGAACCGAACCTAACGACACGGAGTTGGTTCAAATTGTGAACACAAAGAACGATTCTTTTTAGTTTTTCAGCCTTGATGTAATTGTATGAAACAATTAAATAATACTGTTAATTAAAATGCTGTTAAGTTAAATGCTAATGGAAATGAAAGGCTTTAAAAAACTGTCAATTACTGTTCATGCTATAAAAATGATCTGGAAGCAGGAAACAACAGCCGAGCTGTAGTAGGAAACGACTGCAATCCTTTCTAGTTCGGTCACACAACGTATTAACACGGTCTTTGGTCACACTCACCATTTCCGTTACCTATGTTAAGCATTTCCAGTTTCAGCTGTTGACTACTTTTGGCAGGAACAACGGCGCCCGCGCTGGCGGCAACTGCTGCTGGCACGATCGCGGCAGCATCCATAGCGACGCTGGCAGCATCTGTGGCAATGTCGCCATTTTGAGTGCTACCATTTTGTTCGTTAACTTGAGGTTTCATTTTGTTATTGGTTTATTTGCGTTAATTTTGTGGGTGTTTTGAAATTAAATTTAAAAGGATATGCGTAAGTTCTAGGTTGGTAGTTTTGGTTTGGTTTACTAGCGCGTACAATCGGTACTAAATTAAAAAACTAAATAACGCGTGGCTTCAGATGAGCCGTTATGGGCTTTTGTTAGATATCAATTTGGTTGTTACTGATTGTTGATTTCATAAATTTTTATTGGTTGACGTTAATGCGCGCGCGCTCCGCTTTTATTTGCTACACCCGACTAAACGGCCAGAGATTTAGTTGTAACCTTTTTATTATGAAAAATCGAAAGTTCTTGTTCAACGAGAGATACAACTGTCGACGACGCTGCCAGCGTCGCTTTAGCGGTCGCTTGCCTTTTGTTGCCGTTGTTGTTGCTAATACAGTAAACTAACAATAAGTTCATCAAAACACTTTTCGCAACAATTATATGAGAGTGTAAGTTTATTACAACAGTTGCTTATTGTTTTTTTGTGCCCAAACTCTACATCCCTTTAAATTGTTTTCAATGGTGCATGCCTAGGAAAGTTAAAAAAAATATAGCCATTTTTGTTAAATTAACCGATTTTATTGTGGGAATTCCTTTTAGCGTAGGTGCACTGTAATTGTATTCGGTTACTTTTCGCTTACTTGTTGCTCTCTGAGTGCTGGCCGTGGCCGTTAGTTATGTGCATATATACGTATGTAATTGTATATGTATTATTGCAAAGCTTTTGCGCTACCCACTCTATCTCTCTCTCTCTCTCTGAGTGTTTCGGGTTTAGCGCACTCTCAAGCTCACACGAGGACTACAGGAAATTGGTGGATAAAATGTTCGTCGTTGTTAAGAATCTTGAAATCTCAAAATCGATTAAAATTTTCTTAATTGTTAGCAAAAATATTTGCAAGCAATTATTAGCGCAAACAAAATCATTAAGAAACCGTTTTCGCTAGCGATAGGAGCTTAATAAGTATAATACGTACATTTGGAAATACTTATTCGTACATTTTATTCTAGCCCATAGCACATAGATAGACTATGTGTCGTCTTGATAACCTGGCTGCGTATCTTTACAAGTCATTGACAATTATGGATAGATAGCATTTAACTTTTTGCAGGTTAAATAAAACCATAATCGGTCAATGCGGATTATAAAACAATTAAGCTGTTGATGTCTGAGTCCAATCAAATTTTCAGAAACCATGAACGATAGCAATTAAAATTTCGATTTATCTACGCAAACTATCGTCATCGGTTTGACATAATCGATAACAACAACATTGGCTGGTCGCCGCCTTGAGCGAGAGCCGCAATTTGGGCATTGAGTCATTCATCTGGGGGAATGAGCAACCGCTAAATTAATAATATTAATTATCAGTTAATAAGGCATTTACGTCAGTTTAGCCTGGCAAAGTCGAATGATAAAAAAAACCCGCCCCAGCCAACCAAAACTTTTGACTTTTCAATTTTGTTTTTGCTGCTCCGTTTAATGGCATTCAATGCCATTAGCTGGCAACAAATTCAACATTTATTATAATTATTCTCGTACAGACACAAGCATGCCCAGTCGAAAAGCAAATACATTGCGGAAGGAAGCCGGCTCCAATCAATTGCAGAGCCGGTTTGCAACACCACGCGACGCTCATGCTGATTACAGCTCCTGCACCTCGCCACCTACTCCTTGCTTTCCCTGCGCCTGTCGCTCCAGTTTCTCCTGCTCCATGCCCTCCAGTTGCGCCAAGGTCAGCAACGATATGCCCAGCTGATCTTCCCGCGAAAACGGCTGCGCCATGCGTCTCAGCCAGCGGCGAGCCAATTGTACAGCCTCCTCAGTACTCAAATTGCAGAAGCTGTCCACCAGATGCTCCTGTATCCACTTGGGCAGACGCGACCGCTTATCCTGTCGTGAAAAACGTTTGTCTGCAAATATCATAATACCATAGTCCGTCTTGCCGCGCAGCGCTCGCCCCACGCACTGTGCTGCATGCCGCATGGCATCAAAGGTCAGAAAGTCGTTCTCTCGTATCTGAAACTGATCGCGCAGGTAGTCCAGACGCGCCTTGAGAATGCGCGACTGCGTGTAAACGTAGGGTATGCCGAACATGAGCACCGCGCGACCATAGTGATGGTCGAAATCCACACCCTCGGAGACCTTGCCACGCGCCACAGCTAGCAGAACAGCGCCTCGACCGCAATCGCAAGCCTAAACGGAGATACAACGAAGATCGAGGTAAATGTGTGTCAAGCACATCGTGGAAGCCATAGCAGTTGGAGCTGTGCTTCTGTTACGGACAGATGATGGGGCTCACCTTAACATAGTTCATGAGCGCATAGCTGGTCTCGGCATTGTCCTGGGTCTCAATGAACAGCAGCTTATAGCGCAGGAGAGTGTCGACAATGCCCTGGTCGTACCAGGATGCCACAACCGACTCCAAATACAAGTACGACGTAAAGAAGCAAACAATGCCGTCGGGCACAGTTTTAGCCACTTCCACCAACAGCTGGCCATAGTTCCTTATGACAGCAGTGTCCTCGCGCGTTTCAAACTTTGACGAAATGGCCACCTGATCATTGCCCTTTGATACAATCTGTTAAAAAAATAAAAATAAATAAATATACGAAATTAAAATCTTATCACTCAAATATTGTCATTTTAACATTTACCATAGGCAGCAGACAGGGACGAGCCAATGTCATTGTAAAGCTGCTCATAACTACTGGATCAAAGTCAAGAATCTTGGGATACATATCCATCGGTGACAGCGTGCCCGAGGTGATTACAACTGTTTGAAAGCGTGAGAATACTGGCGCCATGGCAATGGATGAGTCTAAACAACTAAAATGCATTATAGGATTAGAAACAGTCGGCGTCTTGTCATCGAAAGGCTCTATAATGATTGTAAAGCCTTTCGTGTACGTTGAAACCAAGGTGGCAAAATGCGTTATCTGTGGGCAGTAAATGGACTATTACATCGAATTCAATAACAGGTCACAGGCTATCACATACCAGCGTAAGCGCGCCATATTCAGTTAAGTCGTTTATCTCAAGCGTGCGCAACAAGCTGGACAAACGCTCGGCACAAAAGCGCAGTGGTTTGCGCTCAATGCATATCTTAGCTGAAACATCTTTAAGAAATCCGGCAGGTGATTCTTGGACCACGTGATGCACACGCAGCCGAGTTTTTATGTATTCTACGAAACGACGCAAGAAGCTAAGAAAGTGATCCGCATTGCGTATATTGCCCGGCACCACCTCCTTAAGCACATCGCCTGGCAGCACAGGGTTTGCCAGTATCATATCCGTGTCCCGCTGTACGCTGGCATCCTTGAGGCCCTGCACCATTCGCTGGTATTCCTCATTTAATCGGTTTGTGTCCTCTTCCCGCATGCTACAAAACGTAATGAATGAGTTTTTCTAGTTATTTAAGGTTTTGAACTTACTCCTGCACCAATTTGGTGAGCTGATTCAAAGCGTTGGTGCTTCGTTCCACAATTCGTCGATTGATTTTCACGCTCATCGAGTCAATGCAGACATTGTCGATATTATGAGCCTCGTCAAATACCACGCAGGCCTCGCGCGTCATCTCCTTCGACACGACCTGCGCTATTTTCGGATCCAAAAGATAGTGGTAGCTGTAGACCACAATGTGCGCGTGTGCAATCTGTCAGGAAAAGGTCAATCAATTATAGCATATATTTTTGGATTTAATTTTTTACGCACAGCATAGCGTGCCAGGAAATAGGGACACCAATTCCTTGAACGTCCATATTCTTTCAGATCATCGAGGCTGTATATGCCCACAGGCAGCGTCGACTCCTTGCCCTCTAACGTAAAGCCTTCAAAATACTGACCTACGAGAAGAATATATGAGTATAGAGCTTTGATCGGATTGACAAGCACTGCCCCTACTTACAAATTGGTACTTCTGCATCCAACTCATGATGTTCGCGTATGTAGCTTGCAGTAAGACCATAGCATTTGCCATCCACCGCCTTGCCCTCACGCTCCTTACTCACCTCAGGGTGTATGCACATGTTTTTACGTGAACTAAGAACCAGACCCGTGAATCCCGGGGGTACGGGGCAATGCCGATCATAGTAGACCATTAAATTCTGCAATTCGGCAATAACCTTCTCAATCTCTGGAACCGTTCGGGAACAGTAAATTAGCTTGCGGACTGTCTCCGGATGCTCGATCATGTAGGCTACAATCAAGGAGAGCAATGTCGCTGTTTTTCCCGTTCCCGAAGGCATTTCGAGCAGACAATGCCCCTTGGCGTCCAGACTTCTCTTAAGCTCCAGCATGTACGCATATTGCTCGGGATAAATGTATTCATAGGGAAAATAGACGAGGAGCCCGTCAACGCTGAGCCTGGGAAAGTGAAAGAATGCCGAACATTATAAGTAACTCTATTCCTTGCACAATCAATATTGAAATTACTTCATTTTGCTCCAATGTGCTTATCAACAAGTTTCAGCACCAGCTGCCTGAAGGATTGTTTGTTTTTTGAGAGAACGTTACTTTGTTTAACTTCGCAATTGTTTAATTCTGGCTGCTAAATCGACGTCCATGCCGGCATCATCGATAACAATCGATATAAGTATTTATTGCAAGTCAAAAATGTATCGTGCAGAAACGTACGCTGTTTGTCGAGCAAAAAGTCAACCACAAAATATATGAGAGGTAAAATCGAAATATAATAAATTTGTTTCGCTACTAATATAAAATTATAATGAACCGCCAACGTCGGCTTGAATATTGATACAAATATATCTTTGTTTGCGAATATCGTACAGCCAAGCAAAATAAGCAATTGATCATTGCAAAATGTTTGCAGAAAAATGTTGTCAGCGTATCAGTCGCAAAACAAGTTTTCAGTAGTACTATTGCATTTAAGGCTGAGTAGATGTTTTTCCACAGTATATTTAATATAATTTAGGTGTAAAAGCATTTTCTACTAACATTTGGTAAATAACACTAAACCCACGCCCTATGGACGACCTCAACCCCTTGGCTGGAACAGCACATCTGCTGGAGGAAGTGGATAGTATGTTTCATACAGTACCGGCATAATGTAAACTATTCATAATAAATTAATTCGAATTCGTAGAGAAACTTATGGTTCTACTTCGGGACGGTCGTACACTGATTGGCTACTTGCGATCCGTAGATCAGTTTGCCAATTTAGTTTTGCAGCGGACAATAGAACGGATACACGTTGGCAACCAGTATGGTGATATACCGCGCGGAGTTTTTATAATACGCGGCGAGAACGTGGTGCTGCTTGGCGAGATTGTGAGTAGAAATGCGAGTAGATTCAATAACATAACCCTACTATGTATATTCCAGGATCGTGATAAAGAACAAAAGCTTCCCCTTAAAGAGATTTCCGTTGATGAGATACTTGATGCACAGCGTCGTGAGCAAGAACAGCGACAGGAGAAGCATCGACTCGTGTCCAAAGCACTCAAGGAGCGCGGCTTGGCGGTCAATGCGGATATCATCAATGAAGACTTTTGCTGAGCCGGGTCTTCATCAGAATTATTAGAGTAAGCTTAAGAGAATCATTGATTTTTGTCAGTTGTATATTTGTACTCCATAAAAATCTATTTAAAAACTATATGTACATATGTCGCTATGTAACCTGCTTAACCATTGTGACTCGTCCCAGGCGCTGTTGCGGACTCTTCAAGCAATATGTATTTCTCCAAAACTTGGAACATTTCCACTTTTGCCTTTATTTTATGCCGTCGGGACAGTTGTCGCAAATAGGCTGCCACCGATTTACAGAAAAAGTCATCCTCTGTCTCGTTGGACGCGCTCGTGGCAGTTGGTGCGGTAACTGCCTCGAATCCGGGGGATGCTTCAGGCTTAATTGGCGGCAAATGCTCCCGCTCGACTCTTACATTCGGCACACAGACCATATAGTCAATGTCCGCCTGAGAATGGCCAGCATCAGACGGCGAGACCCCTGCAGTGCACACAGTGCCCGTCGTCGGTGTCTCAGTATGGACTGTGACCAGAGATGGAGATGGTTGCATTGTGGGCAAGACTTTGTGATCGGCTGATTCGGAATCGGCCATGTACTCCTCATATGAATCATGTCCGTCTCCATCATCCGCTTCAACTAGCACAGAATAACTTTCCGATTGCGTAGTCTGCACTTCCAGCTTGGCATCGGCATCGTAGTTGTGATCACACTCATCGTACACTTGTGACTCATCCAAGTCCTGTTCAATAAGGGTATCCGGCTCGGGACGTGCTTTCAATTTGGGTGCTCTCACCTCCGTTTTCAGCCAACTTGTTGGCGTATCGTCACGACGGCTTCTCTCGCGACGTTTTCGCACGAACTCCCGCAAAAAGTCCATTTGCCTAAAAAAGTCATTATGCCCAAATTCAGAGTTCGGATGCAAACGCATTTGTTTAAGCTCTCGCGAATATCGGTCTCGCAGACAAGTCCATCTGCGTCGTGCATCGGGCGATGAAATATTTAAGGTCTCGGCCACTTTTGCCCAATCCTCTTCCTTTCTTTGCGAAAGGCGAAAGTCTCCATGTCTGTGGTCGTATAGCGATGGCGTAGAACGTATCGTACGTATTAACACAACATCTGACTCGTCGAGGGGCCTGTGGTGGGCGCTCATAGTTTGTTAATTACTATTGAGCATTAATTTTGTTATAATTGAGTAGCTAATGTTTTCGTTTTGCTTTCTTTCCAGTGTGACCATGGTCTGCATAAGAGAAAACGCAACGATACGCATACTAATATGGGGTACCCCCTTTAAATTGCTGGATTTTATGTGGTCTGGCAACGCCAATATCTTGCAGTTAGTGCATCTTCATTGTAAAGGCCGGAAACTTTGATTAGAATATGTTTATATAATCTCATAACATAAGAAAAAATTGTTACAATTTTAAAGTGTAATCGATTAACAATTTAAGAAAGCATTCGATAGCGTTGCTTGACAATTCAATATATCAAAATATGTGTGTTTTATATCGATATAGCCGATAAGTTGATTTAAGAAATAAGCACCCCTACTATCGGCAGCCATTTTTTCACGCTTTCATGCGAAAAAATTGTGAAAATTCAAGTAAAAAGTTGTAAAACAAGCGTAAAAGTAATTTATAAAGATCCTTTATACTAAAATAGTATGCGAATTTGAATTCAGTGCGCGCGTGTAGTGGTGAGCATTGAAATGAACATGGAGACGGTCGTCGCTTTCAATAATGAGGTAAGTTGAGGCCGCTGCCATAGATATGTACATACATACATACATACATATCTATATCTGCCCATACATACCTCGGTATTTACATACATGTCTGTATGCGCCATATGTAGTTGTGTAATTTGGATCGTACACAATTGTAATCACGCCAACTTACACATGTAAATGTTAAATGTTGGCAACATGGAAACCTCGTGTCCTACCTTGGTCCACACACTGAACCCATTTTCTTGACCATCTTGACATATACATGTATTTTTCAGCTCTCCGGGCTCTATGATAGCCGGCCGCCCATATCAAAGGCTAAAATGGCCGCCATCACAAAGTCGGCAATGCGTGCAATCAAATTCTACAAGCATGTTGTGCAGAGTGTCGAAAAGTTTATACTCAAATGCAAGCCGGAGTACAAAGTGCCGGGCTTGTATGTCATAGACTCGATTGTGCGACAGTCGCGGCATCAGTACGGAACCGAAAAAGACGTATTTGCGCCACGCTTTCAGCGCAATCTGACCGAAACCTTTGCCAATCTCTTCCGATGCGCGCCCGAGGATAAAAGTCGCATTATCCGCGTGCTAAACCTTTGGCAAAAGAATAATGTCTTTAAGTCGGACGTTATACAGCCGATATTTGACTTGGCCGACCCGAATCATCCCATTTATCACCAAATGCCACCAATTGTCGGGCCGGGCAACCTCAACACAGGTCCAGGGCCTAGCGGCAGTAGTGGTACCCTAAATCTGTCGGATATTTCCAGTAACAATGCTGCCAACGGCCTTAATACCTCTGGGATGAGCAACATGGACCTAAGTGCTGCTACCGACGACAAATTGGGTGGTGCTATGCCGGATCTGTCGGTGAGTGGGCTCTGGATGATTTCTACAATAGTGAAAAGAGACTGGCAATTAATATCGCATAATGGCAAAAGTTAAGGCCACACGTATAGTAAAATGTAAACAACAGTAGCTAGTGAGCCGCCATGACGAGCTATACTCATTGCCAGGCTCCGGTGCAGTATTATAAGTCTATGTGTGCGATGTATTCCAATGCTAACCCAATTGCCATTATTTTTTGTTACTCTTACCATTATTCTATTCATGTCTTGCTTGCCTAATGCGCGAAAATACACAGCTAAGCCATGAGAAGTGCTCAAGTTCTAGCCGACGTCACATGGAGCAGCATTATATGAAACGCCAGCAGCATCAGCATAGCATGGCGTCTAGCGTTTCTGCCGGATCGAAGAGCCGTTTCGATAGCGTGGGCCCCAGCAAGTCGCATCACCACAAGTATGGCAAAAGTAGCAGCTCGCACGAGCTGGACTATGATGTGCGTGAGATAATTGATGATGAGGATGGTGACATGCTGATGGGCGAAGATCATCATTGTATGGGCGACGACTCGCCTCCTGGCTCATCGAATTTGCTAGATGTATGCAAGGGACTATCTGTTATTTGTTACATTTTTTGTTTAGCTTTAGTTTATTTAGTTTGTTATTTGCAATCTTTTCAATGCATTTATCCCATATATATAATATACGCCTCCCTTTGCAGAACAACAATTTGAAGCAACTGCTTAATGATCCCAATGTGCTGCGCCAGCTTCAGACGCTGCAAAACTTTCAAAAATTTAAGCAGCAAGAAGAGAACCAAAAACATCGCTACCAGGATGATGCACTGCAGCAGCATTTGCAGAATGTTCTTAAGGTGTGTGTGTGTGTGCGCGTTCGACCCTCGCATTTTGTATACCCAGGCAATTATCTGGGTTATGCTATAATACACATATTTATAATTTTAGGGCACAGCTGGCATGCCGCCGGGCATGGCTATGGGAATGGGCGGTCATAACGATGTGACGGATATGAACAAGGACGTGGAATTCATATCGGAACAACAACCCATTGAGGTACGCTCACATTCCTTCAATTTTATAGTTTCATCAAGCAGTTAACGTATGCATTTTTGACTGATCCTACAAACTGATATCAATCAAAACTGCAAACAAAACTGCAATTTTGTAGTTCTCGTTAAATATGTTGATATATCATTAAATTCAAAAAGCACCCATGATATTGGAACTATAGTTGAGAAATTTATTTGCAAACAACTTACATAGTTCCGTATTCATGGTGCCAAGTGCTGCTGACGGGCCCAAACTGTTGTTATACCGGGCGGAGAATTGAATGTTCCGATCGATTACCTCGAGCAGAGTGAAATAACAAAAAAGGAAACGCATTTACAAAGAATGGGGATTAATTTTGATGTGTACAAACGATAGCACTTATTAATGTTAATAGTTATTAAAACTAATTTAAAACCCGACTTGAATTGCCTTGCTATTAAGTCTGATTTTATGGTTTTTGGCCAAGAAATAACTGTCTAAAGGGCCATATTTAAATTTAAACTTGAATTTTGCATATACGTTTATTTAAAAAAAAAAATGGTTTCAAATATAAAAAAAGCCCAAAGGTAAGGTTTATTTATATAAATAATGACGGATGCGAAACCCGATGCTAGAAGCCCCGTATAACAACGTTTGGTAAGTTCCTTAATATGTAACCGAAATTCCAAGTCGATTCAAATTCAATTGCCCATCAAAGAAAACAGAAACTTGCTCGAAAACGCATCGATTAAAAAATGCCAATGAAATAGTCAAGAACCGCCGACCAATTAAAAGGCCAAAACACACGTCAACACGCCAAGAATGCAGTTAAAAAATAAATATTAAAAAAACAATACGTATTTCTATTATTTGTAGTTCTACAAAATCCAACCAATATGTTTTCCCAACTACCCAAATACTAACAACAAAAAAAAAAAAAAAAAACACCCAATCCCAATTCCCACTCTTCCATTCCGCCATTATTTGTTTTATGCTTAAAATGTTAACGTTTATATCACATCACTTTCTCTCAAATTTCTTGCCAAACTTCAAACGCTCAGGTTATCAATCTGGATGGTGCCGATTCCCGTAGTCCCACGCCCGACCGGGACCGATACAAGCGTAGTCGACGGAGCAGCCGCAGTCGGTCACCCCGTAACCGTGGTGGTGGCGGCGGCGGTGGCGGTGGCGGCAATGCCAATGATCGTGACCGCGGAAGTCGCCGGCGCAGCTCCCGCTCTCGTAGCCGGTCGCCACGTTCCAGCCGTAGGCGCGGGTCGCGCGATCGTGACCGTATGGAGCGCAGCACTCGCGACAAGGAGCGGGATCGGGAGCATGAACGTGAGCGTCGCAAGAAGGGTCTGCCCGATATTAAGAAGGATCATCTAAGTGGTAACTATCCATGCATAACCATAGCGTAACGTAACGTAACGTAACATCACGTAAGCCGTATGCCGTATGCCGTAAGCCATTACGGAATTGGTATTTGTCGCATGCCAAAGGCTTTGCAGGATCAAGAAGCCCTCAGTTTCTGCGCAAACCTTTTCATGCCACATTTACCAGATCCTTTTTAATTAATGCTAAAACGTAAATCTTTTTTTTATCCTGCAGCTCCTTGGCTCGGTTGACGTGTGTGTGTGCGCGCGCGCGTGTGTGTGTTTTAGCTTTAGTGGTTCTTGTACTTAAAACATGATCAAATCTTACTATCTGGCAATTTTTAACCCACATAATATCCTCAAATGCCCCTGACGCGTTTCTGAGCAAAGTTTTTGGCAACCAAATCAGATAATAAGCATATTAATGTACCCCTATTTTATCGTGTACTACCACCTAAGCACTTGGCACCCAAAACAAATTTAACTGTGCGTTCAAGATGCCTTGTGAATCACTCTTGGCATATCCAAGTAACGCATTCATATGACACCTTAACGCTTACATCAATTTCAAACTCGTGTACATACTAAAGCTACAACTCCACGCAGAGAGCCTAGGGAGTCTAGACTTACAAGCATTCATATACATTTTGATATTTTTATGCCCTTATAAGTTCTTTCGAAATGTGCAGCGTCATCTCCGACCTCATTAAGTATATATATATTCTAGATCAGTATCCACAGCCGAGTCTCATGCGAACTAGTTTCTCAGTTTAAAAGCTACCGTCATGAAACTGTGCATATGTCGGAGGCGGCTAGATCAGACCACTATATCATATAGCTGTCATACGAACGATCGGTCGATAATTGAGTTATTGCATGGACAACTTTTTTATATTAATATAACGGGATTAATTAGTTCCATTATGATCCTCATATATATATATATATAGCCACTATAGGAAAGATCGGTGGAATAGTATGATATAAGACAAATTATTCAGTTTTCAAAAATATTTCCACAAACCTAGCATTTTCGACCTGCACTTTTTTTACGACTTACCAACTGGGCTAAAATTGAGAGACATTCCCTATAGATAAATATTTAAAACCAATGCGAAGATAAGTTTAAAAATATAAAACAGTTTTTACTTCGATATCGTATATTAAATACCAGGGCTCTGTGTTTACATATTTCCCAAGTTCAAACGATAAACATGGTTAGATAAAGGCAATTGTAAAGAAATCATTTTAGTTTCGGTTCGGCGATCTTTTAAGAACTGGTTTGATTTATGGTTGCGAAATTAGATCTTAAATACTCTTATTGGCATATGACATATAATTTGACTCTAACCACACGATAAACCGAGATATATTATATGATTGGCAAAGGAAATAATGAAAGTCGGGCTCGGCAAGTTGAGTCAATATCTAATGTCAAGTCCCATCACGATAGTTTTTAGGTAGGAAGATTCGCTTGCATAGAAAAAGACAGACGAACATACATATTTTCTCTATGCCTTTATGTGGTCGGAGATGTCACCTTCAACGCGTTAGACATTATATGACAAAATATAAAAACTTTGAGGCTATAAAAAAAAGCATAAAACAGAATTTCTTATTCCTTATTCTTATCCTTATTGAATTTATATTTATACCTTTATCTTTTTGTATGAATTCACAATGTCTAACATTAGATTCTTGTTTCTTGCAGTGTGCAGCACCACGTTGTGGGTGGGCCACCTCTCAAAGCTGGTATATCAGGAGGAATTGTCAGACACTTTTGGCGAGTATGGCGATATTGTGAGCATCGACCAGATTGTGCCAAGGGGTTGCGCCTTCATCGTGATGAATCGCCGCCAAGATGCGCACAAGGCCATGCAAGCGCTAAAGAATCACAAGCTTCAAGGGCGTGCCATTACCATATCTTGGGCAGCCGGCAAGGGTGTCAAGAGTAAGGAGTGGAAGGATTTCTGGGACCTCGAGCTCGGCGTCACATATGTGCCGTGGAGCAAGCTGAGTCCCGATACCGACTTTGACAGTCTTGAGGAAGGCGGCATGTTTGATGAGGACACCATGCCCAGCTGGATGAAGCAGAAAATAAATCAGGCGAAAAATGTCAAAGAAACAAAGGCGACTGTCCCTACCGCTGACCTCACCACGGCCCCGCCTGTGGCGCCGCCTAACTTGCTCTTCGGCATTGACACAACACAGCCACCGCCAGTGGCACCGCCACAGCATGGCGGGCCTGGGGCACCTCCGCCAGCACTGATGGGCATGGTGCCTGGTCAGTTCCAGATGGCGCCGCCTTTGGCCGGACCGCCACCACAGCGCATGATGGGCCCCATGGGACCCATGAATCATCCATTGGGCGGTATGCCCATGCCTCCAAATATGGTGCCCGGTATGCCACCGCCAATGATGATGCCGCCTAACATGATGCCGCCCGGCTTTCCGAGCATGGGCGGTCCGCCGCCACATCCCCTGGGACTGCCGCCAGGCGCACAGTTCCCCCCACCCGGTGCCGTACCGCCACCCATGGCCACAATTCCAACACCTGCGGTCTCTGGGGCTGGCAATGTGAGCGACGATCAAATGGACATAGAAATGGAGCTTGAGGATGCGCCGCAATCCGTCCCGCCGCCGTCACAGCAGCAACAACAGCAACAACCACCGAACTTTAGCCAGCCGCCGCCTATTTTTACAGGTGGCACAGCGCCGCCTAACAGCGCCGAAGTGGCTGCGGCGGTCGCAGCAAATGAGTTGTTTCAGAGGGATCGGACACGTGGTCCTGGCGGCGGCTCACGTTGGGGTGGCCGCGACGACATTGTCGAGACGTCGGATCGCTGGCGGAATGAAAACGGCGCAGGTGGACCTCCTCCGCTTAGCGGAGCTTTCAATGAGGCTCGAGCGCGCCTTAACCTAAACAGCATGGAGCATGGTGGCATGCCACGTCCAGAATTTATGGCTGGTTTGGGTAAGTTCCAGGCATAGTAGAGCTATTATCTTCGACTACATCTCGTTTGATTCAATGTAGACTTCGATAATCGTTCTGGCGGTGGACCACGTGGCATGGGACCAGGACCTCGCGGTGGGAACCATAATGGCGGCAACGGCGGAGGTGACTTCTTCCAGCCCAATATGAATCAGAATCGTTTCAATCAGCCAACAAGTCTGATGCAGATGCGCATACTGCCGCCAGCGGCGTTTAATCAGCGCATGGGTGGACCGGGCACGGGCAATGGAGTTGGCCCCATGTTTATGCGTAATCAAGGTGGCGGGCCAGGTGGCGGGCCAGGCGGCGGGCCAGGCGGCAGACAGCAAGGACCAGGTGAGCATTTTACAGCTGCAAAATTGACCCAATACTAACTAAGGAATTTATTTGAAGGCTTCTTCAATCCACGCAATCCGTTTAATGATAGCCAGCGGGGTCGCGGCGGCGGCAGCGGCGGTGGCGGAGGTCGCAGCATGGGTGGCGGTGGAGGAGGAGGTCGCGGTGGCCGCTGGAGTGATGAAGAGGATGATAACGGCATAAACAACAATAACAACAACAACAGCAACTTTAAACGTCGTGGAGGCGGTGGCCCAGGTGGCCCTGGCAATCGGTTCCGTGGCGATCGCGATAGTGACGATCGTCGCGGAGGCAATGCACGTGGCGGACGGGGTGGGCCGCGTAGCGAAGAGCGTGAACGTGGACCCAACAACAATAACAGACGTGGCTCGCGCGATGACAGTAATCGTCACTCAATAAGCTCCACGGATGAGAACGCAGTGCAAGGCAAACAATCTTCGTTAGAGGCAGATGATTTTAAAAATAAGCCGGTGGCAGCGCCATCCGTGAATAATGTAGCGAAATCAGCAGCAGTCGATACCGAGGAGGATTGGGATAGAGAGCTGCAGGAATACGATGCGAGAATGGAGGCGCAGCAAGCTGCGGAAAGCGCTGCTGCTGCTGCTGCTGCAGCTGCTGACGATAGCCAGATAGCGGAAACAATGACCGAAACAGAGGCATTTGCCAGACCAGTTGTGCAGGAGAGCAGCGAGGCGTCTAAGCCAAAGGCGCCATCACCCGTCTGCACGCCCCTCTATGATGAGTTGCCGCCACCGTTGTCAGCAGCATCAGCAACAGCGCCGCCGCCTCAGCAAGATGAGCAGTCCGAGGAGCCGCATCCAAAGATCGAACAGCGGTTTACTGAAGAAATTGCGCCATCGCCTGCCATACCGCAGCCGGAGGCAGCGCCCGCCGCAGAGATTGAATCAACGAAAGAGATAACGGAAGCTGAGCCAGTTGCCAGTGCCCAGCCAGAAGTCGAGACAGACACATAGAATGCTGACTAAATAATTCATTCGAAGCAACAAAATGAACTTTCGATGGTAAACAAGTGTGTGTTAGTCGAAAAATGTGTAATTTATGATTTCCTTACAATATGATTTATACATGTATGTTTGGTCTCACAACATGCATGCAAACATTTATATATTATTAAAATTTTAGCTTGAGATTACGCATTTGTTGAGACGCGAAGAGTCTGCACCATTCTTGCTAGGCTAAGGCGCTTTATTTTATTATTATTAAAGTTTTCACTTCAAGGCTTAGCTGCCGCCAAACCACAAAACTAACCAACAATCAGGGCGTCTCTGATCCCTTAAGTCGGATGCTAGAAATTTTCATTTTCCATACAGTTATGTATGTAAAAAAAAAAAAAAAATAATAAATTTAAAAAAAAAATCCCCCAACATCAGATACAGTTAAAGGCGCAATGGAACAAACTGTAGCAAATAATTAGAGAATAAAATGTATGGACGAAATTGATAGACAGAGAAAACAGCCACGCTTGAAATGTTTATTATTTTGTTATGTATATAATTTTAAGCAGGTATTTAACACAAATCGTTTCTTATATGCAGATTATAAGTACAGGTATAATAATGTACAATTTAAATATGAAAATATTATCAATACTATTAATAAAAAAAAACAAAAACAGACAGTTGACTTAAATACGTGTGTTTGTATGCGTGCACATCTCTTAATTAAACCCAAAACATTACCGTAAAAAATTAAAACTGCTGAATGTCTGCGGGGATATTTGAACTTCGATACCCCAAAGATACATTTTTCATTTATTTTAGTAAGAAAAATTGTGCAATGGAGATTTCATTTTGCGCTACACTTGCATAGACATGTCCGTTTAATTTAAAACACTTTTTATGGAAACTTATAAGAATTTAAATTGTGTTTGTTATTTAATGCATCTCTAATTAATTAAAGACTATCTGAGATTATTATAAAATCAGCATAAGAATAAGTTTTAGAGACCTCCCTTTTATTTAGCTAATTTGAGATTAATTGGCGTACAATACCAAAAACATATAAATTGCTATTTTTATTATTTACATTTAAATTTGAGGTTAGGCCAACATCCATATTACCGTTTCCGTTGAGTGAAATTGCCTTTCAATATTGTAATTTACAACACTTGCAATGTTATAAAACGTTTACGATATTTTGCATGAATATCATACCAGCTTTTTGAGCATATTTGTAAGCTTTTGGTTTAATATCCTCTATCTATCGATAGATAGAGTACCGATAGTTTGATTCAAATTTGGTGGGTAACACGGTTTTGCCTTAGAAAAACATAAAATTGAATAGCATATGTTTTATTTAATTTTACCAATTCGCAGTTTTATATTTAAAATAACTTTTGATCTGGTTCGTACATAAAATCGACAATTTTTCGTCGAATAAAATCGGTTGCTGTTAAAAACATTCGCCAAATGTTAACGTTAATGTATCTGTTATGTTAATTAACATTTCTGTTTGGTATTTTTCATAAATAAAAAAGTCTTTGCACATATATGTGTGTGTGCGCGTCATTTTAGAGCGTGAATTTTCGATTCGGTAAAAAAACGTAAAAAAGCTAATCAATAATATCTATGAATGTTTTAAAAAATTAATGGACTGCAAATAAGACTACTGATATACAATAAAACTCTTTAACTGTATGTATTAAACTCCAAACAACGCTTAGCGACGTGCAATAGAAAAATTTGGTTTCTCTGTGCCAAAGAATTTACCCACACGAGTATACGCATACATATACGTACGTGGATACACATGTGTATGTGCGTACATGTGTGGCTGTTTGTAAGAAATGTGCAAAATTTTATAAAACATCCATATACAAGAGTGTTAAAAGTCATTGCGGAACGCGTTAGCCACTCTATTTAATTGTCGATAATACAGTGGATGCTGCAATAGTGAGAGAGAGAGCAGAGCAGAAAAAATACACAAATCTTGTGAAATTGTATGCTATAATAAAAAAAAAACATTTCTGTGCTTGTACAAACATGCATGAATGTGTGAATTTGAATATAGGCATGCATACATATATAAAGGAGCGCGCGCGTGTGTTCAGAGTGTGAAAAATGTAGATTGATATATATGTATGTGCATACATAGGGACCGCCGCCAACAAACCACACATACATACTCATACACGCATTCAGGCTGTTTTGTATGTGTGTGTATGAATGTAATGCGAAAAAGCAACGTAACCGCTGACGACGTCGGCAGCTGGCTGCGACATCCAGGAGCAGCATCCTTATTTCTTTTCCTGTAAGCGCGCTCTCTTGTTGCTTTTTGTCTGCAGATGTGGATGCTGTTCAACAGCCACCGCCATCCCCATCCCACTGAAGCAGCCACAGACTCAGTTTGAACCGCAACAATCACTGTCCACACAGCCCGCTGTGTATTTTGAACAACTTTTCGTTTAGTGCTGCCTTCGCGGTCGTTGTTATTGTTGCTGTTAGCTGCCTCCACTAGGTATTGTGTATATTAAATGCAAACTACAAGCTGATATTTTGTTTATGCTATATATATGTATATACATATATATTATTCAATCAAGGTGATTACACTGCTAGCTCGACTATTATCAAATCGACACCGGCGGCAATTAATTAATGTGAAATTAATAAAAACTATTGCACCCAAGTGCCAACATACATACTGAAAAACAATCTACAAAAATATAAACGAAAATAAATATGAAATAATCGCATTGCGCTCAACTTAGGCAAAATAATATCAAAGACACCTTACATATACTTATGTATGTATGCATAAAAGTTCTTTAGCCTGTGTTTTGGTTTTTCTTATGTCGCCTAAAACAGCTGTACATTTATGATCAGTGACAATTTAATCGCTACTGTTCTTGTATGCGTGTGTGTGGAGTTGTGTATGTTTGCAGTTATAAAGTGCAGACATCCTAATTACTTACGCAGGACTTTACAGTGCAATAACAGAATGTTAAGCTTGTTCTTTTCTATGTACGTGTGTGTATTTGGTTTTAAATGTGCGTCAATAAGCGTCAGCAAACACATTTTCTTCTAAAAATGTTGATCAAGTGATGGGGTTACCGTGACATTTATGCAAAACTATTTCGTACACGTAAAATTTATATACAAATACGTATAAAGTGTGTACATATGTAAAAACATATAAAAAACACGCTTTCGTTCTTTTGCTACAATAAGGATTTTTAAGCAACAAAGCTTTGCATATGTACAGATGTATTAGCACATCTATGCGCACATACATACATACTCGTGTGCGTATGTATATTTGTATGAAGCCAGACGTCATCAGTAAGCTCAGTTTCCGTTACCGTTGCTCGTGTGTCAGTTTCGGACACTCGCATAATGCGCTCCACTTTTGGATGCTATTTATAAACGTTTTACCTTATATGCATGTATACAATCCCATACAGCCAAAAACGCACACAAGCATACACATGCGCAAGGATGGTTTCTCTGGCTGTGAAGCTGTTTCCTTTAAATCTGCATACATATGTAGTTCCGCTTCCGTCCAAATGAGTGAGTGTGTGTGTTTTTAGCGTATGCGCAGTGGGTCGACAATATAAAAAGGATTGAAGGTGTGAGTATGTGCGTTTGCGTCTGTTTCTGTGTGAGAGCAGCGCAATCATTCAACTCACCGGGCAGTATCCACATGTTGAGGCGCGTGCAGTTGCCGCTTCTTTCCTTCTCCACTTTCTACATACATATGCGTGTACACACTTACATACATATGCAATATCCCGCTTGAACTAGAGGTCGCATACAAATTCAAGCATCCCTCCATAAAACGTCAAAACCAGACAGTATTAAATACATTCGACAAATTCGCTGAGTTGGAAAACAGCAGCATCAGCAATGAGCGGATATGTATGTATGTATATCAGTATGAAAGTTCTTTTCAGTAGTTATCTTATCAATTGGGAGCGGGAAGCTACTTTAATTATTTTCGAATTTCTCAAGATTAAATATATGAATTGAATATGAATATAATTCAACACTTAAATTAAAATTAAAAAGATAAAACAAAAAAAAAGTCATTCGAACTTTGCTATAGATATGGGAATGGAAAAGACTAGATTAATCATTTTTGAAAGTCAATTCGTTGTTCTATAAAAATACTGTTGTTTTTTATTCTTTTGAGCTAGGAAGATATTAATCGTACCTTGTATTTTATATATTCCTTGTTTGTGTTTTTTACAAATGGTTCTGAAATAATTGTTCTTATAAATGAAATTTGTTGACTCTAGCGCATAAATTGTATTTTAATACAATTATATGTACAATAATAATAATAAAATGTGACAGTCCGCCAAACCAATGTTCACCTTTCGAAATGGAATTAAAAATATTGGCTAATGCGCGCCTTTTATGACCCTAGCGCCTATTAGAAAGGGCCCACAAACAGCTTTTTGCTTGCGTGTTCGAGTCAACGTGTGAATCTGGCGTTTTAGTGCTGTTATTGTTTTGCTTGGCAGCCTTTTACGCGAATATACTAGAATACGAATACACATGTATTGTTTATACATTTGCATAAGCAGCAGCACATGTTTTGTTTGCTTTTTTGTTGCATTTTATATTTATTTATATGATCACTTGTTTCGCCCGTTGCGCTTTCAAGTTGAATGTCACCTGTTCTGTTAAATGTGGAGGAGCTGTGAGGAGCAGCTGTGCAGAGTGCACACAATGCAATAAAAATCGATATACGATTGCGGGCTATTTAACAGTTAACTTCTACTATCTCTCTTTCTCTAACGCAGGTGCTGCAGCTGATCTCTATAAGAACAGTTCGCAATAGTTGTTTTATTTTTTTGCAGCGACGCTAAATGTTAAATGTTGTAATTCGGGCATAGCTAAATGTGATTATTTTTGTATACTAAATAGCTTGACCGCATTTCAACACCAACTGCAACGCCCACACTTGCACTTACTCAAGCAGCATCAATAACAACAACAACAACAACAACAACAACAATAACTATAGTACAATCAGCGATCAACGCACAACACGAAAGAAAAAGCTTAAAAATAGTCTTCAAATAAATAAATAGAAGCGTCGCATGCCTTCGTCGTTGACAGTTTGTAGCCTAAAATGCAATGATACTATAAATGAATTAAATCTTATAGAATATATATATGTATGCACAATACATATACATTGTACATACATGTGTATGTACAAATGTTAAATCATGCTCACACTTGAAAAGAATTACAATGTTTTCACGCTCTTTTTTTTCGCCCCGCTTATGTACACGTATGTGTATGTGTGTATTTGCAGTTAAGAACTGAAAGCCGGCTCAGCGGGAGGTAAATTTTGCGTACGCGTGAGATGTGAGGAAATGCCGTGCCGGCAG